TTGAGCTGAAGAGCTGAGGGACAGTGCTCGGGGCCCAGAGTTCAGGCCCCACGACCAGACCCAGAAAAAAAAAAAGGGAGACATAATTGAATTCTAAAAGTACTAAGGAGGCCATATGTGGTAGCTCACCCCTGAAATCGTAGCTACTTAGGAGGCAGACATCAGAAGGATTAAGGTTTGAGGTCAACCTGGCAAAGAATTCCTGGATCTCACGTCAACCAGCATCTGTGGGTGGTGGCACAGTCTGTCATCCTAGCTACTTAGAAAGTATAAATAGGAGGACTGAAATAGGAGGACTGAAGTCTGGAGTGGCCTGGGCAATAAGGTAGGACCCTATTTGAAAAATAACAAAACCAAAAAAGAATCAGGGATATGGGCCAAGTGGTAGAGTGCTTTCTAACAAATGTAAGACCCTAAGTCCAAACTCCAGGATCTCCAAAACCAAAAAAGTACTAGGGAGAAATAAGTTGTTATTTCTAAGCTGAAGGCGGAAGGGATGGCACATGCCTTCATACACTCAACTAACCTTGACATTAGGAAGATGCACAGTAATTGTGGGAAAGAAAACAGTTTGTCTAAAGGGAAGCTTGGGTAGGACAAATATTGCTAGGGCCTGGAGCCTCTTAAATGCCAACTGCCATCATTTCAGAACTGAGGCATCCCTCTCAGCAGACTAGAAAACACACATTCAAGGGACTGAACTCTTAATGGGCAATACTTCTGCATCAGGAGGGAACTTCATTTAGGATATGCAGGCAGAACAGAATTTTGGCAGGCCATAATGAGAAGAACAGTGGTAACCTCTGGGCTGTCAGTTCTTGGCCTCGGGACAGTCTAACAAAGACCTTCCTCAAGGAAGTCCCTGCAGCAGACTGTGGGTGTGAACAGCGGAAGTATGCAGTAAATAGGCAAAGTCCCAGAGACCGGAGTCTAGTAGGTTTTATAGTAAGGTGATGACACAGCAGGCCTTGCCCTTCAAGGGAAGGCTTTATTTTTATGAAAAACGAACAGAGCAAGGCTGGAGTGGTGGATAAAAGAGTAAGAACTTGGTACTAAGTAGGAGAATGGTAATGATGACCCCTTAGCTTTATTTCTCTTTATTTTCTTTTTTCTTTTGTCAGTCCTGGGGCTTGAACTCAGGGCCTGAGCACTGTCCCTGAGCTGCTTTTGGTCAAGCCTAGCACTCTAACACTTGAGCCACAGCGCTACTTCTAGGGTTTCTGTTTATGTGGTACTGAGGAATCGAACACAGGGCTTCATGCATGCTAAGCAAGCTCTCTACCACTAAGCCACATTCCAGCCCTTCTTTTTTTTCTTGTAATAGGTTTCAGCTACTTAGCTCAGGCTGACTTAGAACATGTAATCCTCCTTCTTCAGTCTCCCAAGTGCTAGGATTACAAGCATGTACCACCATGCTCAGCTAAAATTATTCCTCTCCTTCCTTCCTTGCACTCTCTTTTCTCTTTTTTATTTATTTATTTGGTGCCAGTCCTGGGGCTTGAACTCAGGGCCTGGGCACTGTCTCTGAGCTTCTTTTACTCAAGGCTAGTACTCTACTTGAGTCACCACTCCACTTCTGACTTTTTTGTGGTACTTAATTGGAGATAAGAGTCTCACAGACTTTCCTGTTTGGGCTGGCTCTGAACCGTGATCCTTAGGTCTCAGCCTCTGAGTAGCTAGGATTACACCAATGCTCGGCTTTCTCTTTCTTTTTACCTGGTGACAGAACTTCACTACAGCCTTGAGCATGCTAGGCAAACACTCCACCACGTTAGCTATGCCCCTAACCCCTATATACTTTTCTTGGCTTGATACTTTTGGCAAAAAGGCATAAACTCTAAGGTGTTACTAGATTGCCTTTTTCTTTCATTGCTTTTACTTCTATCTTTTAGGCCTATATAGCTCTTCATTTAATTCTTTAAAAAAATTTTAATGTTGATTGATGCTTATGTCACATTCCAGTGAAACCTACCTTTCTCTCTTTCTTTCTTTCCTTCCTTCTTTCCTTCCTTTCTTCCTTTTTGTTTTTTGGTTGTGGGGCTTGAACCCTGGTTTGGGTGTTGTCCCTGAGCTCTTCAGCTGAAGGCAAGCACTCTACCACTTGAGCCACAGCACCACTTCCGGTTTTTTGAGTGGTTTATTGGAGATAAGAGTCTCATAGCTTTTCCTGCCGGGGCTGGCTTTGAACCTCTATCCTCAGATCTCAGCCTCCAAAGTAGCTAGGATTGCAGGTGTGAGCCACTGGCACCCAGCCCAATGAAACTTTTCATTGAGTAAATACTAAATACAAAATATTAAGTACTTCTGGCTGAGGCTCCAGTTCTTACAGTCTTCATGAATTGAGTTTAGTGTTTGTGCCATGTAGTCCTGGTACTGCCACTAATAGTGTGATCTCTTGCAAATGTCTGACTTAGCCTCAGACTCATCTGTCAATTCCATGAAGGGGTTGAATTATGATTTCAAAGATTAGATAGCTCTAAATTTCCATTCATAGCTCCTACTGTTTCTCAAATTTGTGTGATGGTATTACTCTCCAAATTAAGCTTTCTGCATTAAAAAAAAAATCATAGCTGGTCCATTGCTGTAATCTCATATTGAAAGAGGCAGAAGCAGGAGAATCACAAATTACAGGCCAGCCTGGGCTATATAGTCAGAACTTATGGGGGGAAAAAAGCAAAACAAAACAAAAACAATATCCTAACCCTTTAAAATGCTTTACAGCATTGGGGCTCACGTGAAGCAAATTTATTTGGAAAAGAATAATCAAGCTTGGGCCTGGGAAGGTGGCTCAGTGGTAGAATGCTTCCCTCGCATGCATAAGTACCTGGGTTTGATTCCTCACACCACATAAACAGAAAAAGCTGGAAGTGGCTCTGTGGCTTACGTGGTAGAGCGCTAGCCTTTAGCTGAAGAGCTGAGGGACAGTGCCCTGGTTCAGAGTTCAAGCCCCAGGACCAAAAATAACAATAATGATAATGATAATAATAATAATAAGCTAACTCTAAGATTTTCCCAAGGGTCTCAAAGTTATGACTGAATTATGACAAACTTGAGAAGTCTTGACAATAGTCTTCTTGTGATTTGCATAGCTAGTCTATTTTAGAATTGTTGCTCACTCTCTCTCTCTCACCTCCCCTCTCTGTCCTTTCTGGTGCTTGAACTTGGTTCCTGGGTGTTGTTCCTGAGCTTTTTTTTTTTTTTTTTGGGGGGGGGGGTGCTCCAGGCTAGCACTCTACCACTTGAGCCACAGTTCTACTCCTCACTTTTTGGTGTTTAATTGGAGATGAGCATCTCACAGTCTTTCCTGCTTGGGCTAGCTTTGAACGCAGATCCTCAGATCTCAGCCTCGTAGGTAGCCAGAATCATAAGAATGAGCCACTAGCAACAGGCTAGAATTGTTGCTTTTTAGGAGGGCATTCACAACTGGAGGAAAAAATGATTCAGAGGAGAAAAGGCTTAACTGTTAAGACTAAGAGGCACAATCAGAGAACCAACTGAACATAGAGATGAATTAGCCAACACAAACATCTTCAGTAATTGAAGCTTCAGGAGTGCTTGGTAAAGGAACACAGTGTAAGACAAGTCTTTAGAGAACTTGAAACTGAAACCTGATAACCAGAACTGCCTCAAAGACTCATTTTAATTACATATCAAATACGCAAACATTGTGACAATGCTGAGATGGTGTGCATGGAAAATGTAGCATTTACTTCTTTGTCAATCTCTTTCTGTCCAGATGTCTCAAGGTTTTCTACTCTGTCTGAGCAACTCATCAGGTCCAACCACTTGGCAACACATTCTACATGTTCTGGAGCGATGGAGCATTTTGAGCGATGGAATATTTTGAGAATGCTAGGTCAGAAGCACGTACTTCAACCGAAGAAGAGAAAAGGGTTGTAAACGAGGCTGATAGTGTAGGAGAAAGGAAAAGTGGGTAAGGTGAATGAAAAGAGAACCTAAGAGCTTGGAATACTGACACATGTCACAGGGGAGATTGAGGCAAGGCAAGACGGTCGTGGGTTGGAAGTCAGCTTGAGTTAGGCAATACCCTGTTGATTTGAAATAAGTGTATGTATGTGTGTGTGTGTGTGTGTGTGTGTGTGTGTGTGTGTGTGTGTGTATAAAGAAGCTGGCTGGATTGCAGCAGCTTTTGGCCCTTTCGATTTCTCGACCTGGTATATGACTTTGTCTCCAGGGAGGAAAGCCGGCCCCTCCACGTAGATCTCAGAGCATTCGAGGACCGCCAAGGCCTGGAGGGGGTTCGCCGCGCCGCGCCGCGCCGCGCCCGGCAGCAGAGATGACCCCTGCGCTCAGGAATTCCTGAGCCCTCCTTTTCCTCACCGCCGGGAAGGCTGATTACATCATGGCAATCCGAGCAGCGAGGCCAGTTTTTCCATTTCGAACTTCTGATCCCTCAAACGCCATCTATTGCCCACGAAGGAGCCGGGGATGGAGTGCCGCGGTTTCCCCGGTCACGGCGCGCCCACTCTTAGAAAGGGCCCTCCATCCCGGAGGCTTCTGATATGTTAGCAAAGAGGCTATTTATTAAATGGCTCTGGGTGCTACTTTTCCTCGCGTCTACGAGCTGCACCTACTCAGGAACACATGATCACCCACGCCAGTGGCTGCGCCAAGATCCCACACTCCACACCCTTGACAAAGACGGTGCGGGGATCCCGGCGCAACCCGCAGGGCCACTGCCGCCGGGAGCGCACTGGAGACCCCAGTCTACTCCTTCGTGCTGCGCCTGCGCAGTCCCTGAGGCAGCGCCTCCCGCGGGTGAACTCTATCGCCGCGCACCCTATCAGGCTGTCGCGGGGAGCGCGCCCGCGGCCTCGCCCTCCCTAGCTCCGCCCCTCGGCCCTTGGGTCGAGCTTCAGACTGAGGCTGAGCTCTATAGTCCCCGCCCCCGCGCGCTCCCACTCCCTCCCGCGCGCGTGCGCAGAGGCGGGCCGCAGGGCGAGGGCGCGAGGGAAGGGCGGGCGTACGTCCTTGCGTGCGTCTCAGGCAGCGCGCACGCCGGCGTGAGAGGGCACGGGGAAAAGGTGGCTCTGGCCGGGGCGGCTCGGCTTCCTGGGGCTATGTAGCTAGGCTCGCCGGCTCGTGGTCCTTGTTGGTTGCCCTCACCGCGTCCTAGCGCTGAGTTTCTGTTGGGAAGAGGCTGTCCTCACGCCCGCCGCGCTCCCTCGACGGCAGAGCTCGCTCGCTTGCCCGTGGGAGCGTCCCGGCCGAGCTGCTCTGAAGGGGGAGGGGAGGCCATTTTGTCCCGACCGACTCCCCGGAACCGGGCGGAGCGGCGAGGAGAGGCTGCGGAGCCTCGGTCGGAGCCGCCCTCGGAAGCACGGACGCCGCCACGGTCGGGGCTTCCTCGACGAGGCCGTTCGCAGGTCTCCCGCTCCCTCTCGAGCCTGCCTTCTCCCCACGCCTCCCCAGTCCTCCGGCCCCAGAACGCCCGGGTGAGGAGTTGGCTGTAGTGAGAGGGACCGATCCCTTGGGGCCGCCGGCGGCGAGAGCCCGAGCCGCTCCTCCCAATGGCGAAGAAGACGTACGACCTGCTTTTCAAGCTGCTCCTGATCGGGGACTCGGGAGTGGGCAAGACCTGCGTCCTTTTTCGTTTTTCGGATGATGCCTTCAATACCACCTTTATTTCCACCATAGGTAAGACTTTGTGGGAGGAGGGTGGTACGGACGGGCTCCGCAGCTGCAAGCCGTTTGCTTGTATTCCAGACATCTTGCTTCCCGTAATATACGCCTTTGTTCCAGGGATTCCGATTCCAGACGACAGACCTAAGTTACTGTTGGAATCAGCCTCGAGCTTACTGGGGCGGGGTCTTCCCATGCTTTCCATCCGGTCTTTTTTGCTTTCAAGTATCCCACTCAGCCTCAGTGCTTGCTGCTGGTACAAAAGATGCAGCATTTAACAACGTTCTAGAACCCTGTTTCTTTAAGCGACTTGTTATTTTTTTATGTGTGTAGAGTTACTAGACGTAAGATATTTGTAAGGGTCATGTTTTAATGGTTGGGATTGGAGCAGTACTGGTTGGGTTTAAAGGCCTGATTTATGCTGGGGGCGGGGGGGGGGGGTAGGAGACGATTCCATACGGTCCTGACTTAGAGTAAACTTGAGAGTTTGTGTGTGAAGGGTAATTAAAGCAGATTAGAGGGGAGACGTGAGTTGGCAGCATTGATGTGTCAGACAATCGGAGGCTCTTCGTGCTGGGGTGGCAATCTATGGCACAGGTTTCAAAAGGCTTCAGAGCTTTTGAAGACATTTAGCAGAAGCAGTAATCTGAGGAAGATGATCAGTTTCTGCCTAATACGTGTCGGAATGAAGTCAAGTTCCCTTCTGTCTTGACTGGAATTTACAGGAAAGTGTTTTGCTAGTCATATCCATAAGGACTTCTTTCTAATTGACTTTCACCACATGTTTTAGAATTACTTCGTGTGGAAGACCTAGTGATTGACCTTTTCATTTGGTTTCCCGTTTCACAAAAGAAAAGGGAAGATTCTAAGAAAGTCCCCTTTGATTCTGGCACAAACATCAATTTTGCTAAAGTAATTGTAGGTGAAACCCACAGCCCCTCCCCCAACACAGTTTCCTTAAAGGACACCTGCTTGTTATTTGAAGCCAAGTTCTAGCATTGGACAGTGTAATAAAACCTGTTTAATTGTAACCAGTTTTATCATGAGAATATTTAAAGAAACAAATGTAGTGTTCTTTGAATCTTGGAAATAGCCAAGCCGATTTCAACCAATTTATAACATTACTGAAACGGTTTGGATTTCTTTCTTCTTTTTCAAGACAGGATCTCACTATGTATCTGAGACTGTTTGGAACTAGCTTTGTAGCCCAGCTCTTCCGTCTTTCTGCCTCAGCCTCCTCAATGCTGGGATTGATTACAGAGGTGCACCAGCACACCTGCATTGGTTTGGATTTCTTATGACACTATCAGCAATCTAACTCATTCTCGTAATTCAAGTCATATTGAAATTATATTGGACAAGTGATTATTTAGGTTTTTATTTTACTGTTCGAGTAAGAAAAGTATGAGTATTCTCTGGGACAGTACTATATTTCATGAAACTTAGAACTTGTTCTCTGCCTTGTGGTTAGCACTTCCTAGCACTGTTTGCTTTTATTTCATTTTCTGCTTTAGCTGGGTGGGTCAGGTCATTAGATGGCAAATATTTATTGAGCACCTAATGCTAGGCACTGGGGATAAGTGGTGGACACAATAGACCCCTTGAACATTCTATTGAAGACAATCACAATATTGTGCAAAGTGTTAACAATAGTAAGCATAGGGAGGAGGGGACTAGCCTAAATTGTAGGGGTCTAAGTAGCCTTGCTTGGCCATGATAATTTTTTTTTTTTGGTCAGTCATGGGGTCCTGAACTTTGGGCCTGGGTGCTGACCCTCAACTCTTCTGCTCAAGGCTAGTGCTCTACCACTTGAGCCGTGGCACAACTTCCGGCTTTTTCTGTTTATGTGGTGCTGAAGAATCCAGCCCAGGGCTTCATGCATGCAAGGCAAGCACTCTACCGCTGAGCCACCTTCCCAGGCCCTTGGCTGTGATAATTTAATGTAAAGTCTAAAGGACAAGTAGGAATTGGGCCAGAAGGCTGGAATGGATATACAGCTTTTCTGAAAGAGAAAAGATCTAATTCATTGTGGTTAGTTTTAATCTGCCATTGAGAAAGGTGGGGTGCAATAGAGTTAAAAGCAAAGCTTGAACTCTGTTTGCCAGACTGTGTGTGTGTTGTGTGTGTTTGTGTGTGTGTGTGTGTGAGTGTGAGAAGAGGGGAGGGGGTGTGGAGCCATGGGATCCATGGTTCCACAGGCTTTGTGACAGGGGCAAGTTACTTTACCTCTGGTTGCTTCAGTTTCTTTTAAAAATAGTATTGTATCTACCACATAGGGTAATTGGTGAGATTTTATGGGTCAGTGAGATTAAAGCACTTCGCATGGTGCTAGGCACTTGGTAGGAGCATAGTTCATGCCAGCTGTAAATGGAATACAGATCTTACATTTCTGAAATGTAGCATGTTGCTTTATAGATTGAATGCCTGCACACAGTGGTCACCCAAGTATTTAATGGTGCTCCATTGAACAACTTCACTTCAGTCTCTGACATTTACATATTTTGATTGAAGATTTTGAGTGCAGATTAAGAAAATGAATATAATTCCAAGTGCAACTTAAACACAGTTATGTATTAGCTTGATTTAGAAGTTTTCTGTGGTCTTAAACCAGTGTTTAAGTCTGAAAGATGAGCTGCAAACATAATCTAACTTTGATATTCATGTACAAAAAGGATTTAAGGTGCATCTTTTTTGCGCTTGTTCTAAGGCTTGAACTGAGGGCCTGACCCTATATTTGAGCTTTTGTACTCAAAGCACTTGAGCCACAGCTCCATTTCCGGTTTTTTGGATGGCTAATTGGAGTTGAGTCTCAATGTACTTTTCCTGCCCAGGAGGGGATTCTAGCCACTATCTTTAGAGCTCAGCCTCCTGAGTAACTAGGATTACAGGAATGAGCCCCCAGTGCCAGGCCAAAAAGAATTAGTTATATATTTTATCTTATATCTTAGATGTTACAGTGTAGTCAATTTTAAGCAGTTGAGATATTAATAATTTACCTCTAGTCTGTGAGTATGTGAGTCATACCAGTCAGTTTGTATTAGGCATGTGGCTAGTGGCTACCATATTGAATGTTCATGTCTAAACAATCTAGACTGTTGATATGCAGGTAACTAGAAATACTTTGTATATTTAAAATATTATCAGTTGACTAGAGAGTTTTTCCTCTTTTTTTTGGTGCTGGGGTTTGAACCTAGGGTCTTGTACATGCTAGGTAGGTGCTTTTTTTTTTCTCTCAAATATAGAGCCTTCTCTGATGATATATAATAGAGAAATTTGTGAGTTGTCATTTAGTTCTTATAGCTTATTTTTTAGGTGCGGAGGATTGGACTCAGAATCTCGTACATGCTAAACGTGTACTGTACCACTGAGCCCTAACATCTTAAGTTTGTCTAGAAGTTATTAAAGAAGTGGTGAAGAGTGAGACCCAAAGTAAGTCAGGCCCTCATTATTTTGGGCTTAATCCCAGTCCTTTCCCTCCTCCTCCCCTTAATGGGGATTGAACTCAGGGCTTCCTGTTTAGAAGGCAGAATCTTCAGTGCTTGAGCCACACCTTCAGCCCTTGTTTTTGTCTTTTTTTTTTTTTGGTGCTCATCCTGGGGCTTGAACTCAGGGTCTGGGCACTGTCCTTGAGCTGTTTGCTCAAGCCTAGCGCTCTACCACTTGAGCCACATCTCCCCTTCAGGCCTTTTGGTAGTTAATTGGAGATAGAGTCTCATGGACTTTCCTGCCTGGGCTGGCTTTGAACCATGATCCTCAGATAATGCCTTCTGGGTAGCTAGGATTACAAACCCAAGCCGCTGACATCTGGTGGCTTTTGAGTTTTTGAAGAAATATATGTACATATATATGTATATATATATTTTTTTGTCATTCGTGGGGCTTGAACTCTGTGCCTGGGTGATGATCCTCAGCTCTTCAGTTCAAGGCAAGTGCTCCTGAGCCACAGCACCACTTCCGGTTTTCTGGTGGTTTATTGGAGATAAGAGTCTCACATGCTGGCTTTGTACAATGATCCTCAGATCTCAGCCTCGTGAGTAGCTAGGATTATAGGCGGGAGCCACCAATGCCTGGCTGAAGAAATAATTTTTACGCATTTATTGTGCTTGTACCACTCACCAAGATTACTGTATTGAAAATTTTATATGTATTTTTCAATTCTCACACATTCTTACTAGAAATTATGTAAGATATTTATGATCAGATTTATCATATTTGATTTGAGTTGCAAAAATAAATTACTAATCCTAAGATAGTAGAATATAGTAAGTAGTATAAGTGTAGAGATCATCACCTGATGTAAGGTTCTCCCTGGACCCCTGTAAGACTGCACCTAAAAGAATTCCTGCATTTAATGGGTGCATGTTTCATAAGGAAGGATAGAGGGAGGGAAGGAAGGAAAAAGAGAAGAGAGGGAAGAAGGGTAGGTAGTACAGGAAGGAAGGACGGAAGGAAGGAAAGAGCAATTAGGATCCACTTATTATAGGACTGGGCCTAGTTTATTTTAATATTTCCTCTTTTTACCTATTTTCTGAGTAATATATGAAGTGAACATTAGCTGTTTGACAATCTGAGTAATTTTAGGGTAAAATTGGTCTTAGAAATTCAAAGATTGAACCGTGTGCTGGTGGCTTATGCCTGTAGTCCTAGAAACCTAGATACTCAGGAGACTGAGATCTGAGGATCATGGTTTGAAGCCAGCATAGGCAGGAAAATGTGTGAGACTCTTATCTCCAGTTAACTACCAGAAAACCAGAAGTGCTGCTGTGGTTCAAAGTGATAGAGTGCTAGCCTTGAGCAGAAAAAACTCAGGGACAGTGTCCAGGCCCTGAGTTCAGTTGAAGTCCATTGGTTGGGGGGGAGGGGAATTCAAAGATTATTTGAAAAGTAATTATTTAAGAAAGCTTCTGGTTTTGGATGTGCTTCAGTAGTTGATTTGATCCTACCTCGATTGGCAGTGCAAACTCAGAAAAGCTTATCTATCCATGTTATCAGAGCTTTTCCCCAATGCATTACTT